CTCGAATTTCACATCTTTAAAGTGTAGAGCATTGCATTGTTGCAGATTATTCACACCAGGGAAACTATTCGGTATTTACACTCCCAACAATGAATGTAACTGTACTGTATCCCTAAAATGTACCAATAAACTCAATTAAAGCTGAAAAAAAGGTGTAGAGCACTGCTCACCTTAGAGTCTTGTACAAGTGGTGAATAAGTTGATATTGCACATGCATTTAAAATAGTCCTCACCCATAACAACTCTGCTGCTGGAAAATGTAACTACTGTATCCCTAAAATGTACCAATAAACTCAATTAAAGCTGAAAAAAAGGTGTAGAGCACTGCTCACCTTAGAGTCTTGTACAAGTGGTGAATAAGTTGATATTGCACATGCATTTAAAATAGTCCTCACCCATAACAACTCTGCTGCTGGTATCCATTGTCTATGGTATAAACTTCTATGGGCAGAAACCACTTGCATTCAATTTTCATATCTCTCCAAGCTACCTGAGCATTGTGCTGCATAAAAGAGATGCTCAGTAAATATGGAAAAATACATTTAATTCTTGAATCATAGCATCTGAGTACTAAGGCCAATGTTTGTACCCAAGGAAAACCCAGTAGACTGCAAACGTTTCCATTTGTTTTGATCACTTCCAGTGGAAAGGGATTCACAAGAGACATCTCTGAAGACGTTTCATGAACAACTCATGAAGACACGCTTATCCCATCATGAGAACTGGCTTCCGTCCTTCCCCACTTCCCCCTCCCTTCCTTCCCCCTCCTTTTTCCTTCCACTTGTGTTCACTGTAACCCTTGGCGTTCCAGAACTTCTGCTGAAGGTGTACAGCCTACCATTTAATAAAACTTCATCCTTTAAGCTTCTACTCCACTCATATTAAAACATATATACTAGGTCAACAATGTTAGGTCATTTTACAGATTTTGCCTTATTCTTATCCAAAGCTGTTGCAGCATGCATACATTTCACACATGAATATTTAGCTATGTACACCAAGAATTAAAGTAATAAAACATCACACATTTCTGTAAGTCCTTTGATTTTAAGCTTAGCTTTGACTTAACAGGACTCAGAGAATTTAGCAACAGCCAAGTCCAAAAAGAACAGAAGAATGAATTCCTGGATTTTAAGATGGTAAGTATCCATGACCTGGTATTTAGGTTTAATTTGAAGAATTTCAAAGGGTCTTTTTGCCTTCTGCACTCTGATTTAGAACTAACTTCTGCATGAGATACAATCACATTAGACTCTCACCAACACCAGACCCCTCATAAGGAAATCAAGGCAAGGAACTGAGCTAACATAACCCACCAATGTTCAGAGAGCTCCGTAAGGCAAAGCCACACTTAGACCACGTTCTGAAAACTGTAGCCATCCTAAGATACTCTGAAGTATCTATTTCTTTATAATGAACTAAAATTAGCTTTCTTATAGTTTCCACTTTCAAAGTTCAGGGGGAAAAAAGAACACCTACATTCCCTGGTCCATGCGGTGTCCCTTTCAGCACTTTTTAAAAAGTCCCTATCACTGCCCATTTCTCCTTCGCCCCATGGCTAAGCTCTCGCACTCCCTCCAAACACTTCTCCTTTCATGGGGCTTCAAGGGCCCCCTGAGCCTGGAAACTCACTTTTTGGCAGAATGTGCTCCAGTCTCCCAGCGTTACTCTCATGGCCTTGAATGCAGCAGAATCCTAGGACAGATGACAACATGGTGCCCATCATTTGGGCTCATTTTGGACAAAGGTTCTCATATATTCATTGTCCACTGGCAAAGGAAGTGCTACTGCAAGAAAAGGAGGAGCACAGTGTGCTGAGAAATGCCATTTGCCCCTCAGCCTTTGTGCTTGGAGAGACCAGAAGGAAAGGCAAAGATTGAGTTCAGTTCCAGAACGCCTGCTTCTCTATGATGCAGCACGTATGTTGCTACTCAGTGCCAGGCGATGATACACACAGGATGTGAGCCTAATTTAAGCTTCTCAAGACAAACAGATCAATTTCTTATTTTAAAATTCTGCATTTTCAAAAACACTTATGCCCTCTGTCTAATTTTTATATTTCATGCCCAACATCTCCCTGCATTAAATAAACAAAGCAGGTGTCGATTCAGGTTTCAACCAAACTGCCCAGCTGTTCTTTGACCTCCTTCCTAGAAAGTACACACTACTGGAAGCTGTTGAATGCTACCCAAGGATCATTGCAAAACCTCTCTAAGCAGTGAATAGACACAGAGCCCACTGCTGATAAAAATGGCCAAAGCCTTTCCCATGGACATTGCCTGAAAGCTCTCTTTCCCAGATCTTCCATTTTTAGAGCTGACTTGTTTGTTTGCTTTTCGTCATCAATGAACTGAAGGTTCTGAGGGCCCTTTTGCTCCCACTTGGATAGCAGTAATAAAAAAGCAAAGCACGGCCTCCTTAGCATTAACAGATCTGAGCTTCAAGTGCTGCCGCCCTCAGTTCTGAACGGCAGCGGCTCCAAGCTGCGCCCAGGAGTCTTCCTCAGGGCTGTCGCAACCAGAGCTGGCAGTTCCCAGCGGCTCTCAAGCAGCGCTCCGCAGCCGGAGGGAGCCCTTCAGCAGCGCTCTGGCTGCTAACCGCTCTTCACGTCTACAGCTTGCTCAGTGTAGGAGTTCCGCCTGCAAGCAGCTCTCGGCACTAGGAGCCTTTGGAGTCTCCAGCTCTCCAAGCAACTGGCCAGTCCTGCTCCATTGGACAGTGAAGCCATCTGCGTGAGGCTTTATCGGGCTTGAGCAGTAAAGTGACTTTCCTAGAATGGCCCCTCAGGATGAGGAGGGCTGCTTATGTCAGGGGAGGGGCAGCCCTCCAGGACCGCGGTCACCGGTCTGTTAACTGCCAAGGGTGAGCACTGTCCTGCTCCTGCGTGCCTATGTGCTGGGTCCACCTGTCCTCGCTGTCAGGGGTGGGGGAGTCATCCCAAGAGCTGCAGGACACCCGGAGCAGCCATGGCTTGCGCGATGACCAACAGTGGTCAAAGCGCCTCCCTTCTCAGGCAGGAAGATGCCGGGGCCCATTGGTGCTTTCCCATCCCCAGCTGGAAGACTGGGGCTGAAGCCCAGCACTGAGGTAGTTTATTCTCCAGCCTAATCACTGTCTCGCCACTGCCTCGTCCTGCAGACCCAGCATGGGTGGTTCGGCTGCTCCCCGGGGTGGTAACAGCAGCCACAGAGCACCCCCGGACCCCCACTCCTACCAGCCCCAGGCAGGCCCTGCTGTTTGAAATGAAAGGGAAATAGAAACATGTCCCCCAGGGGCGGTTGGGCCTGACTGTTCTGCCCGAACTGTGTGGATATGCACACAATGTCCTCATTTGAAGGTGAGTTTGAAACTTGGCGTTTATTTCCTCCAATCTCGTTAAGGTAGGCCAATACCCCAGTCCAGAAAACCTGTTTTCCTCCAGATTCCACATCCTAACATCTGCCCTTTTCCATTCCCCATAGTATGGGCAGTTCTCAGACATGAACAACACGCTAGATTTTGTAGCAGGACCATTACGATTTAAATTTCCCTCTGATCCATACCTTCTCTCTCAGGTAGGTCAGGGGTCCCTACACACAGAGGTTCCCATGGGCAAACTTTATACAGAGTCCCTACAAGGGTCTGGAGGCTTCCGGTCACCTCCCCTCAGGCCCACGGTTTCCTGCGCTGCTGTAGGAGTGAACTCTTCGCGAGCTGAGCCCGTCCGCAGGGCCCTGCTGAGTGCTGTGCACCTTTCGTGGCTCCTGCAAAATGAGTGAAGAGGCTGTCGTGGGGGTGAAAATATCTATGCAGAGAGCTGTTTCTCCCAGGGTGGCCATATAATTTAACATCAGTGCGGATACTTAACGCATTACACCTATTTACTTATATTTTTGCATTGACATGCGTTCGTGGAGTTGCTGCAGAGCTTGGTTTTCTCAAGAAGAAGACTTAGCAGAGCTGTAAGCAAGGTGACCCAAAGCTTCTCCCGTAACCCCCCATCGCAGTTTTCTGGGAGCTTCTCTCTCCTTCCGTTTCCAGAGTAACCCCGGAGCGTGTAACTTCCTTCCTACACAGCGCTGCGTGGGTGGCACTGGGAGGAGCTTTGCTACATCTCCGTGGGACGGGTACAGATGCCAGAGCACGGCACAGCGTGGGGTGCCCTTCTCACGGCTCTGCACCCGGCTGGAGGGGAGCAGGTCTTCCTGGGCAGGAGACAGAGGACTCCAGCCTGTGGGTCTCTATGCCTGCCCTTGTAGGGGGCACACAAGGCTCAGAGAACAGCGTAAGTGAGCAGCTTGTCTGAGCCCTTGTGGCTTAAGAGGCCAAACACCCGTTCTCTGGAAACATCGCCATGCCGCCTCCGCTCCGCAGCCATGGTCTGGGAGTGAGAAACAGCGTCTGTCGGCCTACGCGGAGGCCAGCAGTCACCATGTGCAGGCCCTTCGCATGTAAGCATATACATTTCACCTCAGATCTTTCCAAACCCTAAACCACTTAGCAAGACTGAATTGACTTAATCAACACGTGCACAGTGAATACCTCGATTTCAGGTAGGTGTTTGTCAGATTTAGGAAATAAAACCAGGACTTCCCACTGAATTTGGATTTCAGCCAAACAACATATGCTCCATGAAGTATTTGCCACTGGCAAAAAACAAAGCAGTTGTTGATGTGAATTTCAGATTTCACTGGGCTCTGGGTCCTGTGTGTCATCTCTGAATCCCACTTGCAAGGAGGGGCCACAGCATGGTATTTTATGTAGGTTACCTTGGTCAAACTTAAACAGTTCATACCACACTGAGGCTTCTCTAAGTGTGTTCTTTCCTGAAATTGGGTTTCACAAAAACTTAATTTCTCTCTTATCAAAGTAATCTCTGGTTTAAGGCACGGACCCCTTCGGAACTCTCTGCCTTGAAGAGGGGGCTGGAACAAGTAGACATTATTCTTCCCCGACCTCATCGACCACTGGACAGACAGACTGGGCTCTGCATTCGAGATCCTGTGAGAAGAGAGCTGTGTTCTGCCTATGCGGGGTCAAGTGGAGGAGCATCCGTGAAGACAGCATCCACTTCCATCACTGTTACTTTCCTAAAATGAATGAATCAGTTCAGTGGGAGAGAAACTGTGCCAACAGTTTAATGTTTTCTCCCAGATCTTTCGAAGCTGTGCTATGAAAGTTCAGCTCCATTCATAGTCTTAAAAACATGCAGGAATCATGCAGTTGGGGCCCAAACGGTGTCCTCCAAATAGTGTGACAGAGGCAGAATGGTGGTGGACTTGAAGAAATGCTAAGCGGGACTTAGAGCAAAAGCAAAACTCAAGACAGAGAACAGAAGAGATGCTCTCTGGGAGGTTTTCCCAACTGCAGTTTGTGACTGATCATGAGATTATTTTTAGGTAGTACACAGATGAATTTGATTTCTTAAAGACTTTAACATCATAAAGTGTGTTAAAAACTTAGCACATACAAACTCATGATTTTAGGAATTGTAGGCCAGGAGAGGGGCTGAAGTCATTTTGTGTTTTAAGTCTAAAATATCTACACTGGGGCCAGGGATTTAGCTCAGTGATTCCGCCACCTGCCTCGCAAGCATAAGGACCTGAGTTTGATCCCTGGTACCATTAAATAAATAAACAAACAAACAAATATATAAATAAAATGTGAACAAAAACAGACGCTCGGTAAGAGCCCAGGTTCCACACTCATTTGACAAAACCTGTGCAGCTTGTGTGTGAGTGGACCTCAGATCCTGCTGTCCCAGGCGAGGGCCACTTCTGCCTGGTGCCAGAAACTCATAAATCCTCTAAGGAGAGGAACCAGTGCCTGCTCAGCCTCCACCAGACCCAAGGGAACCTGCACCCAGTGTCCGTCCCCTGGGAGCTCATCCTGGCTGCAGCCCTGTGGAGCCCAGGATGCTCTGACAGCCAGACCCACACTGACCAACAACAGGAACAAAGGCCCTCATTGTCAAATCTCTGATCCAAACAGCTTTCAGACAGACTCTGTGGCTCTGTTGGTCGACCGCTTTTTCGGTTCGGGGCATAAAGGCTCAACATTGTACTCACACACACTCCAAAGAGAATCCCAGAGTGTTCTCATGAAAATGACACAAATGGAAGCCCCGGTGTGCACTTCCCCCCGGCTCTCTCCTATTTAGGATGGACTTAACGTCAAAGTGTAAGTCCAGTGACAGGAGTTGCTTTTAAACACTCCCTGTGCACCCAGGGTTCAGGTGATTGATCCTTCTGTGCACTGCATAGCAGCATTAGGACCAGGTGTTGCCAGTGAGCTGTGCCAGGGGTGACCAGCTCCAGAATTTGGGATCCTTCACACTTCCTCATGTCAATAACACATGTTCACATTACTCTACTTTCAGTAAGAAAGTGATTGATTTAGGATAGGTGGCTTATAATGTCTTATTTTCAAACCTTTTTCTACCTATACAATTATACTGCAAACATTAATAACTGGATGTTAATGAAGGTTAGGACTACTATTTTTTGGTTGAAGTTGTTTCTAAATTCAATCCAGCCAGTGGGAAACACAACGGTCACTTTAGAAACAATTGTAATTTCTCTAATTTTTAGTAAGAGATTTAAAACCTCAGTACATAAGGCAGGAGTGATGGTGCATGCCTGTAATTCCAGCATTTGGGAAGCTGAGGCAGGAGGATCACTATGAGTTTGAGGCCAGCCTGAGCTACATAGTGAGACCTTGCCTCAAAAACTGGGTAAATTTTTTTTTAAAGTTAGTACATCTGTAATCCCAGTACTTGGGAGGCTGAGGCAAGAGGATCGCTGTGAGTTCAAGACCAACCTGGGCTACACAGTGAGTTCCAGAGCAGTCTGAACTGGGAAGCTGAGGCAGGAGGATCACTATGAGTTTGAGGCCAGCCTGAGCTACATAGTGAGACCTTGCCTCAAAAACTGGGTAAATTTTTTTTTAAAGTTAGTACATCTGTAATCCCAGTACTTGGGAGGCTGAGGCAAGAGGATCGCTGTGAGTTCAAGACCAACCTGGGCTACACAGTGAGTTCCAGAGCAGTCTGAACTACATAGTGAGACCCTGTCTCAAAAAAAAAAAAAAAAAAAAAAAAGGTTAGTACATATACTTTGTTATTGCCTGTGCCTGTTTCATTAGTATATGCTGGGAAAAGTCACTTTTCCCACATAGTTAGGAAGTTAGAATGCAACCACATCTATGTGGTAAATTGCATTGCAATCAGTCACTTTTGTAAGACTTAATAAATATTCTTTTACAAGAAAAAAAGACTGAGTAATAAGGGTGTGACAATAAAGGATCAGTCACAGATCTGTAGAAAATGCCAAGCAAGCTCCAGTGATGCCTTGATCTGCAAACAAGGGTCCCCCAGGTACTCCCACACCCACCTCTACAACTGCTGCAGTGAGGACTCTGCATGATTTCCCAAATGGAGTTTTCAGGAACAGTGACTTTACTTTACAAAATAATTGTGAAGTCGATCCAAACGCGCTTTTCTTATCAATTTCAACCAAGACCATCTCCTTAAACATTTCCATTGCATTTCCACCTGCCATTTGTAACTGCCATTAAAATCCTCCCCAAATCCCAAGGACATCTCCTACCTACCTTTGGCACAAGGAGAGAGTTGTCTCTCCAAATTAATTTCCATTCCAGTCAACTGTTGGTGCCCCATGTTGTCAAAAGCTTGTGCTACACTACAGGTGAGTCTTTCATTCAGCTCTCTGTTGTGTTCCCTTCAAAGTGTAACCTTTAGAAACAGATGTGTATGTCCAGTTCCGGGGGCCAGCTGCTGTCAACTCTCTTTATTAGTCAGGTTGTAGGACCGTATGTTCTTTAATTCTTCAAAAGGCAAAGTCAGGTGGCAGCAGAAAGCTTAACTTTGTAAGTAGTGGGAGGGCAGCAAGCAATGCAAGGGGTGCAATAAAAACAGAAGGCATTTTCAGGATCAGAATTTCTATGGTGCTGCCTGGCAGTACAATTCCAGCACTGTCCATGGCCTGCTAAGCACTCACCCATGACGCAATCCCCTCTGTTCTCTTCAAACCCAAGAGGAATCCTGAGATCCAACCTCCAGCAGCCCTGGAAGTGAATGATGGTTAAAAATTTAGCTTTGCTCGAAGACAGACCCTGCCAGCTTAGGGAACTGGGAAGTAATCACTGTGCACAACTCTCAGGGAAAGCTCAGCAAGTGGCCCAAAAACTACAGTGGAAACCATGACCCTCCCACCCAGGTGCCACTGCTCAGTTCAGAGCTCAGGAAATTTGGGAGGAGATCACAGAGTCCAGCCTTGATTGATGTTGATGCAGGAATAGTTGGTGGGCATTTGTCCCACGTGGGCCACAAAGTCGAAAGGCAGGAAGAGACAAAGCAGATGAGCAGACAGGAGAGACAGGAAGGATGGAGGAAACTTCTACGCTGCTAACGGGCTGATCCCATCTCCTTCTGAGGAGCAACTGCTTCCCAGCCCTGGGCCCCTGCAGTTACACAGTGATCATAGGAAATCCCGTCTGTGCTCCCGCTGGCCCCAGGGAGCTTCCCCTATTTGTAGCCAGCAATGTCCTAACCAAAGGGTTCTAATGAATCAATGTCTTTTGCAGTCTGAGCTCACAGAGAGATTTGCTGACCAAAAAGCATCATGATCTTCACTGTAGCCCCAGACACAAATGGCGCCCTCACCTCACAGGTGCTTCAGTTTCTCAGCCACAGATGGGTAGATTCGCCACTGGTCGGGTGCAGGAGAGAGGCTGTGAGGAGAGGCTGAAGGTGGGCTCAGTCCTGGTTCGGCCACCAGCTCCCTGGAGACAGTGGCCAACACTGCAATTAAACCTGAATACCGAGGTTTTGGTTTAGAAAAAGACAACTCCTACGTTAATATCTTTTTGTCTTAAAAAACAAAACAAATAACATGCGTGCCATAGGTTAACCACCACTGCTATATAACATAAAATAAAATGTATATTAGGTCTGTATATCTATAGTACATTAAACACTGCATATCTATAGTACACATTACATATTACACATGTGTATTCTGTCATGTCTATACACACATGTTATGCACATGCACCTAGACATGCAAATGTATGTAATTGGAGGTGATTCATGATGAAGAACAGAAACATCCTGCCATACCTGAGTGGGCGTGGAGTCCACCGGAAGGTGCTGGGAAGTGGGGTCCCCAATATGATACACAAATGGGCCATGTTGGTGCAGAGCAAGACCACGGTGGTCGGTGCGGGTATCAATGCCAAAGCAAAGACCACGAGAAAGAGCGATCCCTGAACCCATCTTTCAGCAGAGGGCACCGAGTCGGGGCATGGCGTGCCCAAAGCCACACCTTGGCAGCCAGGGCCACACCGCAGATGCCCCGTTCCTCAGCTCCCTCTTCTACCTGTGCCCTGGCTTCTGGGTGGATGGGATGGGCAGAGAGGATGGGATTTTTGTGGGTGTCGAGAGTGGATGCGAACCATGAGATGAGTGGCTCTTGTGTCAGGGCCTGAACAGGAGCACCTTGTTGTAAGGTAAGAGAAAAGTTAGGAAATGTGAGGAGGAACTCACAGCCCCGCCTCAGGAAGAGCTGGACGGAGAAGGGCAGACTCACAGCTCCAGGCTCCGTCTGTGGAGGCCAAGTGGAGGATGATGTTGAGAGACAGGAGCCTACCACGCTGAGGCTTAGACGAAGAGGAAAGGGCTGGGTAAGAGTCCCCTCCCTAGAGAAACTGGGAGAAGTAGGAGCATCTGGACAGAGAGCTGGAACACAGAGAGAATGGCAGTGAGACGGAAACCAGATACAGAAGCTCAACTGGAGAGCAAAACAGCAGGGAGAGAGGAATAGAAGAAAGAGAATACGCAAGACAGGAACAGAAGTTAACCCAAACCAAAGACACACAGCAAGCTGGAGATCAACCATTATAGAAAGACGGCAAACGTGACCAAGGCACACAGAAAGGTTAACAGAGACACGAAGTAAAATGAAAGACAGAGAGGAAAGCAAAGGCAAGAGTGAGTAGAACAGCTGCAGACGGGCAGAAATAGACAGACCCCTGAACACAGACAGGCAGACAGCTAGCGACTGACGAGAGGGAGGGAGGAAGGAAGGGAGAAGGTCAAGAGAGAAGAAGATAAAGAAGAGGAGGAGGAGGAAGAGGACGAAGAAAAAGAAGGAGGAGAGAGAGAAGAGGAAGAAGGAAAAAGGAGAAAGGCAGGGAGAGAGGGAGAACACACTGAGGCAGAGACTGACAGAGGAGATGCTTTGAAGCAGAAAGAAAGAGACTCCAGAGGAAGCAGAGGAAGACAGGCCGACGCCTGTGAGCCCACACTGTGCTGTGGACCTGTGACTCCTCCAGCTCAGCCCGGCCCGGCCCACGCAGCACCCATGGCAGCAATGCGACCAGTGACCTCTCCAGGTCCCTCTCCACGCCTGCCTCTCTCAGCATTTCAGCAAGTTCCGTTGCAGCTCACCCGCACCTCCTCTGCAGTCTGAAGGCGTCTTATCCAGCTTAGATGGCATTAACGCTCCATAAAGCCTCCGCTTGCCACAGGACTAACGAGCACATGGCAGCTGTTTAATTAAAACTTAAATGTGCCAAGATGGCACTGGAGCGAGAGGCACCTCAGAGGACGCGTGAGGCTGCTAACAGCCCAAAATAAAGACTTCAATGGGACGTGAACCAGCCTGGTGGACAGCGGAAACCGCTGGGCGTCACAGGCTCCACAGGCCGAGGTCTGGGCACCACATGGGCCTTGGCTCTGTCTGCACTCGGCTGGTCAGACCAGGCACAGAACTGGTCTAAAACAATTCTGTAGTCCTGTGTTGTAGTGCGGATCATGACCCCACGTCAAGTCAAACAAGATACGCTCACCTCAGGGGTCTACTGTCTCATACAGTATTGAGCACAGGTGACCTGAGGAAAGGCAGAGCATGCTGTGTCCCCTTCTTAGTTCTGGGCTCATGACGGGACCCAAGACCCAGTTTCTAAGATACATCCCTGAAGCACAGCTCTAGTTAGGATAATTTTATGAAATTTCCTACAGTTATATAAAAAAGAAAGAAAGTTAATTTTCTTTGGGAAAATTTCAGGGAAACCTGGCTCCTTCCATCCCCCAGAGTCAATGTAATTACTTTTGGATGATAACATAGCAAGAAAAAGGATTTTTAAAGCATCATTGTATATATAAATTACATCTAATTCTACTTTATAAATTAGATATGGATTTTTCCCACATGGATTCACCGAAAGGGGACACGTGCTAACTAGGATAACCTCAGAGAATCCAGCTTCGAAGGAATCTGGGAGAATTCCTCCAAGTCCTCATTTACAAAATAAAAATTATGAGGCTAATTATGACAGGTGTTTTTCCTATTTGACAAAATATTCACCATATTAATCTTCAGACAGAAAAGTATTCATTTATTAGACCAACCGAATGCATCATCGAGTGCTTTGCTAAATTACTGTAATCCAAAGCAATCTTGATGTGCTTTTTGAACACTGACACATAATATTCCAGGCAGGGGTAGATATTAATGGGGATTCTTGCTGAGTCGCTGTTTTTGGTCTTCCTGTCGCAGCAAATCCAAGTCCATCATTTCTTCCCAGAGGTCCTGGGACAGCTCCTTGAAGTGAAGTCCTGCTGTGACAGAGAGTTTCTGTAACCTGCGCCTGCCTGCTAGTGAGCGCCCAGCTGGCACAACTGAGGAGCTGAAAAGTCTGGAATTATCTATACCCACAGACTCATGCATGGCTAGTGGAAGTGTTTCTGGACACCCCCATCTCCTAGGAGTGGGCTTTACTCCCTGAAAAGAGTTCTGGAAGTGGACGGTCCCTGGCATGGGTCCCTTTAGGAAACCACAGAAAAATATTGCTCCCTTTATTATGGCTTAATAAAACCTTCAATCTTTCTCACTCTTTAACAAATTCCTCCCAAATCAGAAAAAGCCATCTATGTTTCTTGTTGGTAGGTGGAGCACTGATTTCCTTCTCTCTCGAAGGACTCTTAAAAGGTAGAATTATGATTCTCCAGTGTGGGTGACCCCTTTTTTGCAAATGGAATCCGTGTTTGGCAACCTCCCAATTCTTAACAACCCTAAAGGCTTTGCTGTTGTTCTCAAAGACTCTACTGTGGAGAAGGGTGTTTTTCTACTTTCATAAGAGAAACAGACACTTAGTGGCCGGCTGTGAGAAATTACTCTTTCCTCCTAAAGTCTACCAGTTGTCCATGCTCTTTCCTGAAAGCTGCTCACAGCGTGGACACAGGGATGGATGCTGTGGTTGTAATGATCTTCTCATTTCTCTGCCAACTGTTACTTCCTGAAGGCACAGATGTCAGGGTGGACAGCAGGTGCACTCGCCTCATCCAGACAATTTAGAAGAATTTTAGTTAAGGGGCAAACAGACCTTTGGGGGGGTTCTGCCCAGTGTGAAGCACATGAGCACAGAGACACAATTCTGTTTGAAACGACTCAGGCAAGTAATTTCAGGTACATGATTTGCACTTATCCTGTTACAGGAGAGGGAAAAACTCTATGTCCTTACCTGACACTTTAGTGTAAGGACTAGAGTTCCCCAGTGGAAGGCAGGTGATCTGTGACAAAGGACAGAAGCCAAGGCAGCACCCCCAGGGACTCAGAATGTGTAACAGTGAAGGACCGCTGACCCAGAGTCAAGCTACTCTCTGTCCGTGCAAGTTGTGAGGAATTTGGAAATGACAGTCAGTGGTGCCCTTAACAATAGTGACTCTGGGAGTGCCATGCATGCTGTATGAGTGGACAGCTGTGATCAGATAGACTCCATCGCACGCTGTTACGCCCAGTTCCCTGCAACCCCATGAAAGTTGCTCTTCTTTGTCTCCTATGCACATTCTTCTGGATAGAATTAACACAACCCCCTGAAGAGTAGGAGCTAATCTTTGTTCACAGAGCCTTTGGTCTCACCAGTCCTTCTTGTGTGTACACCAGGGGAGTCGAGGTCACAGGGACACCTCTATACAGACGAGGGGGAAGGACATATACTCACTTTCCATACACAGAACTCCCTACACATACTTAAGACTCTGATGTTCAGGGCAAAGATATCGCTTGGCATAGATACAGGCAGCTGAGGATGGTATTAGAAAGAGAATAATAATGGTCAACTGCCACAAAGCAATGTCAAAGAATCCTCAGAATCTTCTACCATTGTGGACTGGAAAAAAAAGAACCAAGGAGCTGGCCTTAAAGGGTATCACTGGGTAAGGAATACAGTCAGTAAATTCACAGGGATACCCTGTCATCACTGCCACCATCACCAACAAGATTATCATTGCCAATGAGGTTGTCATTGTTGTCTCTAACACATAATCGCCTTTAACGCCACTACATCACCATCCTCACCATCACCACCACCATCACCATCACCACCATCACCACCACCACCATCATCACCACCATCACCATCACCATCATCACCACCATCATCACCACCATCATCACCACCACCATTATCACCACCATCATCACCATCATCACCATCACCACCATCACCACCATCACCATCATCACCATCATCGCCATCACCACCATCACCATCATCACCACCACCACCATCATCACCACCATCGCCATCACCATCACCATCATCACCATCATCACCATCGACATAACTGTATTTTCATTTTGTGCATGTCATATCACTATCATCATCCCCTTTACCATCAAAAATCTAAAATCAATTATTCAGTTTTAATACATTATAAACCATCTCATTCTCTCACCACCACTTTATGAGGTAGGATTTGTAATTTGCAGAGAAGCAAATGAAACCAGATACTGGGTCCTCCTT